GACGCCGCGGGAGCGGACGCGGAGGAGGCGCCGCCGCTGGCGGCTGCGGGCGTGCTGCTCGTCGCTGAGGAGGGCTGGCGGCGGGAGCCCGCCGCCGGCGAGGGCCGAGCGGCCGCCACCGTGCGCGCCGTGCAGGCCGGGCGTCCCTCGACTTTTTTTTGGCACTGGCTGCAGACGCCCAGCTGCTCTGGCGGCAGGTTTTTCGCTGGTTTCGGCCCCCAGGGGTCCTCCCCAGGCCTCGGGGCTGTCAAAAGACGACTCAGGACGAAAAACCAGTTCCGGGAAAGGGGTCCAGACCTCTGGGGGTCGACGCTCTGAAAAAGCATGACGTGCGCGCCGTGCAGGCCCGGGGCCCCGATTTTCTTGCACCGGCTGCAGACCCCCAGCTCTCTAGGCTGAAGTCGGGCGCGTATCTCTACAGGAGGCGTAGGCAAGAATAGTCAAATATTCTTAGGGGACGATGTTTCGACTATGTTCGATTGTTTTTTTGACCAGTTTGGAGTATTGATTGATTTTTTCCTCCCAAATCCGCCTGCAGGAACATGCCCGCCCGTCTGCGCCGTCCAGGCCTCTGACTCCGGCTTTTTGCACCGGCTGCAGACCCCCACATCTCTAGGCCGCCCCTGGCGCGCTCCGCCCGCCAGTGAGGGGTCCGGCGCAGATCCTAGAAATCTGCGCGGAGCGCCAACAGTTTATATGTTTATGCCGTTTTTCTTCTTCCATAGATGGGGTCGGAGTAGATGGGGTCGGAGGATCGCGCCGCATTGCCCGACTTGCTTCACGTCAGCGTCGCCGATGCATCGCCAGTGCATCGACGATGTATCGCCGGTGCATGTGCAACAGCTGCAGACTCGGCGCTGCGCATAAGAGTGACCTCTCGCTGGAGTGACCTCTGGTGCGGGCCCAAAGGGGTCCCGCCAGCACTGGCTGACGCGCTCGGATGGCTTTGCCTTGGCCTCCCTCGTGGCCCTTCAAAGCCGCGCACCAGAGGACACTCTTGCCTAGAGTCACTCCTGCTCGGAGGCGACCTTTTCGCCGCGGGAAAATCACGACGCGAGGTTTTGGGCGGTTTTTGGCCTCTGGGGCTCTCGCAGGGCCCCAGGACCATCAAAAACCGGCTCGGGGTGAAGAACCAGCCTTGGGGAAGGGGTCTGGACCTCTGGGGGTCTACGTTTTGAAATCAATAAATCAATCACGACGTCGGAGATCTGGGGACCTCTCGTGTTCGGGCTGGGGCTGAGGTCGGTGCGGCATCCCGCTCAGCGGCCGTGCGCTGTCTTTCTTTGCCTCCGCTTCCCGCAGCCTTGCCATCGCCGATGCTCTCTAGTGCTCAGCGGCTGTGGGGTTGGTCTGGCGAGGAGCCGGTGCCTGGGTGTTGTCATCGAGTCCTGGTGCTGCCCCAATCTAGAGGGCGCATCGCCGAGCGCTTTGCCGCGTGTGGCGTTCAAGCCATGGGCCTCACCTCCGTTTCATTTGGCCCTCGGCGAAAGCGGGGACGCAGGCTGGCGGGGAGTCGACTGGCGGAAGGCGGCGGACGTACAAGGGAAAGTCCGCGCGGAGCCTCGGACGTTTATGCTGAGGCTGAGTCTGACGCTCGGTCCCCGGGAGGATGAGGGGGGGAGGAGGAGGGGGAGGGGGAGGGGGAGGAGGAGGAGGAGGAGGAGGAGGAGGAGGAGGAGGAGGAGGAGGAGGAGGAGGAGGAGGAGGGGGGAGAGGGGGGGAGGGGGAGGAGGATGAGGAGGAGGAGGAGGAGGGGGGAGGAGGAGTATGTAGTCACTCGCACTACATTGTAGTGCGAGGCGCCAAGCAGCCGAAGCGAGCTTATGCTGCACCCGAGCTTGCGGGGGGCCCGCCTCGTGGCACCCTCACCGCGAGCCCCTGGGTCAGCCTTCCGAGGTAGAGCCGCCCTGTCCTTGTGGGAGGGCGGCACTGGAGGAGGAGCTTTCCCTCCTCCCTGAAATTGTGTGAGCCGAGCCCCCCCGCACACTTCACACGCCAGAACACGCTCCCGCCCAGCCCCCCTCCCCACGTCAAACCACCTCCAGACGTGTGACGGGTGCGCCCTGAGGTCCCGTCTCTCGGGGCCCGCCGCACGGCCAAGGGCAGAGGGGCCTGGTCTGCAGGGCTGCTTCAGCCAGTGAGTTAGAGCTCTCTTGCCTCTGGCAACGGGTTCAGACTGGCACTCGAGACACTTCCACCGCCTCGGATGGATGGTGTGACATGTTTCGGCGCGCGCGGCTGAGAGGTCGAGCAACGGTGTCTTACCTCGCCCCGACTCCGCCGGGCCTTCGGCTCGGACCGAGGGGGGAAAAGAAGCCGTGATGGCCAAGATCCGTCGTCGAATTTGCTTAGCCTCTTCCTCGAGCTCTAAAAGGGACTGGGCCTCAGAGTCGGGAACTTGCGCGGGGCCCGAGAAACGATCGGCCAGCCGATCCGCGGCCTCGTTGACCGCCGACAAGTTCAGAAGCTCTCGACTCGCCGCCAGCTGCTCATCCGTGAGGTGGCTGGCGACTTTGACGACCTGAACGTCCCGCCCGTCGAGGAGGCTCTTGACGGACCTCCACAGGTCCTTGTGGGATTTCGGCGACCACCGACCTCGTCCGAGCTTGAACAATCCACGGACAACATGCAACGAGTCCGTAAGATAACCGAGGTCTCTGGCAGGCGTCGCAGCGAGGGCCTCCCGGAATGCCAAGAGTTCCCCGCGGTTGATGCCCTGCCTCGGACCAGGAAGGGAACCCCCAACGCCCCCCGTCTTGGTGGGCTTCTCTTGCGAGAGGTGTGGGTCCACGCCAAAATTGCAAGAGACCACCGCCCAAGAAATCCTTCTCATGCGAGGGTGCTTGCTATACTTTCCCCCCGACGTGTCGCCTCCAAGCCAAATCCTTCCCCTGCTCACAAGCGGCCCCAGGCGGGGGTGCTCAAAAGTGGTCGGGGGCGGCGGGTCAGGAGGGGTGATGCCAGGGTCGAGGGTGCATTCAAGATCGTCCCTCGGCTCCGTGAGCCGAGTCCACGCGGCAGGGATTAAGCCACGGAGCCAATAGCATGGGTGCGCAATATAACCAGCCTTCGCCTGATCGGCTAGGTGATTGGACCCTTGGCACTCTTCAATAAGAAAGTTCCCAGGGCATTCCCAGACAGTGTGAAAATCTGTCTCTGAACACCTCTGGCAACGACGACACAAATTGGACTCGATTTTGACACCCGCCTGCTCAAGACGGCAGAGAGACCAACAGCCCGCAGTCGAGAGGTTGGCCAAACCCCCTCGCAGCTTATAGGCCACCTTCCGTTCCAGAGCTCGCATGTGGCTGAGGAGGGCCGTGGTGTCGGCTCCGTCTTCCAGCCCTCGTCCATTATGGTGCTCAGCAGCGGCCTTTTACAGGCCCACCTGGAGGGTTTCGCGAACGAGCCCCAAGATGGTGGACCAGTCGGTGTCCTGGTCCCAGGCGTCCTCCGAAATCGAGTAGAGGTCACCGCACGAGTGCTGCTTCCAGGTCCAGGGCCCCTGTGGATCCCAGCCGGCTGAGCGCAAAACGTGAATGGTGCCGCTGATGATGCCATGAACTTTAAGCCAGCGTCGTCTCGGCTCGGCGTTGGCCAAGCCGGCTGCGATTTTGGGCCAGACTCGAGCGGCGCGTTTCCTCAAAAGAGGGGAGGAAGCCATTCATTCAAGCCACGTCTGGACAGTGCTGGTGGGGAGGGCAACTCCCGGGTCACGGTCGCAGTAATCAAGATGGAGCGCGGTCGTGAGGCATCGGCCCTTGGCCTTGGACGTGACCTAGCATGCGACGGAGCAGCTCGAGCGGTCTTGGGGCGAGTGGCAAGACCTTAGCGCGGTAGCCAACTCTGGGCAGAATGCCCGTGGACGCCACGCGACGGGCAGCTCTCGATCCCGCAGCCCAGCCTGTGAGTTTCCTAAGCCTCGAAGCTTGGTACTTGCTGAGCCTAGCTCGAGTTCTATGGCGAAAAGATTTGAAGAGTCTGAGGTGGCCCCGCTCGATGCCGAGGTCTGCGCCTGCCCCCTCGGATTTGACGGACAGCCCCCTATGTCGGAGCGAGGTTACCAGGTCGAGGGCGAGGCTGCGATCGCACGCAATCACCGCCGACTTCGGGGAAAGTTTCAGTCCGTCCGTCTTCAAATCGGCTGCAAACTGCACGGCGGCGTCAGACATGATCGGCACGAGCGTTTTCCGGCCCCCCTCCATGCGAAAATTGACATCGTCAACCCAAGACTTAGCCACCACACCCCTCGGGAAAAAGTTATTGTGTATTCGTTCGAGGGTGGGGTATAAAAAGGCGGCTGCGGCATTCTTGGCGGAGCGACATCCTGCTGCGATACGCAGGGACGGGTCAATGGGCGCGCTCAGAGAGGACCGATCCCTGAGCAGACGGGGCCCTAAATAGGTGAGCGCCGACAGGCTCATGATGGTGGGGGAGTAGTCGAGATCCAAGCACCGGTCGATACAGAAGCCCCCATCCAGCGAGTCGTAAAATTCCTCGACGTCGAAGAGGATCGAGAGGTGGCTGACACCCAATGCGTCGCAGGATTCATCCATAAAGTGGCGGCTTACAGCCGCTCGCAATGCACTACTGCCTCGGATCGCCTCGTCCCAGAGCCCCGGGAGCAGGATGAGGCGGAGTTTCTGGAGCCTGCCATGTACGGGGCGGGAGCTCCACTTCCTCACGTGGCGTGCCGTGGCCCTCTCCTGGCATGGTCCAGCGGGTCCGAGGCCCTCGCCCAGGCCCAGTCTGGGCGCCCAGTCGATCTCGGGCCCAGGCTCCCCCAGACCCCCGACGTTTCGTGATCTGTTTGTAACGTCGACCCCCCAAACGTCTCTACCAATTCTCCCAGGGACCGTTTTTTTTCATCCCGAGCCGCTTTTCGACGGTCCCGAGGCCCGTCAAGGGCGCCCAGAGTCTGGAACTTGCCACAGCCTGTCCGTCGTTTTTGTTGTTCTTGTTGTTGTCGTTGTTGTTGGTGCTGTTGGTGTTGTTATTAATGCTGCTTTTGTTGCTATTGTTGTTGTGATTGTTGCTACTGTCGTTGCTGTTGTTGTTGCTGCTGCTGTTGCTGTTGTTGTTGAACTCTCATTTCTGATGCATAGTTATTGTTGATCCCCCCTCACCAGTGCATG